AGCACACTCTTATTTCTCTAGGGATCCGCCTCTATTAGCCTATAAGTCTGTGAAATGAGGCAAATCACCACACGTGTATGAACGTAAAAATATTTTTTTCTTTCTTGCAAGTGTGCATGAGGAGCTTTGAGGAAAGGAATCAAATAGATGGCTGCTGGCTTTTCCCATCAATGACTTCACTACAGAAATAGCCGGCAGCACAACAACAGGCCGACATATTGAAGTGACACCTTAAGAGTTATGTGACACAGTGTGCAGGATGTACTCCGTGGGTGTGTGGGGAAAAAGACACATTTGAGTGTTATGGTGAGCACTTTACCACAGAAGAGATGAAATATATAAAAGGAGTTTGAGGAAGCTAGTTTTATGTGCTTTGACATGCTCATGCTGAATACTGGTGAATACTGGATTTTCTTTTTCTTGGTTTGAGTGTCAAATTCATACGGTTTGAGTTTGATGTTGGTGAAAACTACTTTATTCTTAGGTCTATGTAAGGCAAGGCAAGGCAAGGCAAGGCAAGGCAAGGCAAGGCAAGGCAAGTTTATTTATATAGCACCTTTCAACACAAGGTAATTCAAAGTGCTTTACAAAAATGGAAGACATTTTAAAAATGGCATTTAAAATCAGTCATTAAAAAGGAAAGATAATAAAATAAACATTAAAAGAAAAAATACATGGATAAAAGTTAAAAGTTACAGTGCAGTTTAAGATGTGAATAGTTCAATTAAAAGCAGCGGCAAAAAGAAAAGTCTTCAGCCTGGATTTAAAAGTAGTAAGAGTTGCAGCGGACCTGCAGGTTTCTGGGAGTTTGTTCCAGATATTCGGAGCATAATAACTGAATGCTGCTTTACCATGTTTAGTTCTGACTCTGGGGACAGAAAGTTGACCAGTCCCTGAAGACCTGAGGGTTCTGGATGGTTCATAATTTAGCAGTAGGTCAGACATGTATTTTGGGCCTAAACCATTCAAAGCTTTATAAACCAGCAACAATATTTTGAAATCTATTCTTTGACACACAGGAAGCCAGTGTAAAGACTTCAGAACAGGAGTGATGTGATCCACTTTCTTAGTGTTAGTGAGGACTCGAGCAGCGGCGTTCTGAATTAGCTGCAGCTTTCTAATAGATTTTTTAGTGAGGCCTGTAAAGACACCATTGCAGTAGTCGAGTCTACTGAAGATAAAAGCATGGACAAGTTTTTCCAAATCCTGCTGTGACATTAGTCCTTTAATCCTAGATATGTTCTTTAGGTGATAGTAGGCTGATTTAGTAACTGTTTTAATGTGACTGTTGAAACTCAGGTCAGAGTCCATGACTACACCTAGATTTCTGGCTTTATCTGTTGTTTTGAACATTGCAGACTGAAGCTCAGCGCTAACTTTTATACGTTCTGCCTTGGCTCCAAAAACCATTACCTCAGTTTTATCTTTGTTTAATTGGAGAAAGTTCTGACACATCCAGTCATTGATTTGTTCAATGCACTTACTCAGTGTTTGAATTGGAGCATAATCTCCTGGTGAAATTGTTACGTAAATTTGTGTGTCATCCGCATAGCTATGGTAACTTATTTTGTTGTTTTTCATTATCTGAGCCAGTGGTAGCATGTAGATGTTAAAGAGAAGAGGCCCCAAGATGGAGCCTTGAGGTACCCCACATGTCATATTTGTCAACTCAGATGTGTATTTACCTATAGAAATAAAGTTTTTTCTGTCCTTTAAGTAGGACTCAAACCAATTTAGAACTGTTGCCGAAAGTCCCACCCAGTTTTCTAGTCGGTCTAGTAATATGTTGTGGTCAACAGTGTCAAATGCAGCACTGAGATCTAATAATACTAACACTGAAGTTCTGCCACTGTCTGTGTTTAAGTGGATGTCATTGAAGACCTTTACAAGAGCAGTCTCAGTGCTGTGGTTTGGACGAAATCCTGACTGGAACACATCCAAACAGTTATTTAAATGCAAGAAGTTACTCAACTGTTGAAATACTACTTTTTCAATGATTTTACCTAGAAATGGCAGGTTTGATATTGGCCTGTAATTGTTCATTACTGAGGCATCTAGATTATTCTTTTTTAAGAGCGGTTTAATGACTGCAGTTTTCAGGGCCTCTGGAAAAATACCTGAGTGAAGAGATGTGTTTACTATATGAAGTAGATCTGAGGCCATGCAAGGAAAAACATCTTTGAAAAATCCTGTTGGAATAATATCAAGGCAGCAGGAGGAGGATTTCAGAAGTTGAATAATGTCCTCTAAGTTTTTACCATTAATCTGATGGAATTGTGTCATGGTGTTTGAATTGATATTAGGTGGACATAGGGACAAAACATTTGCTGTACCTGATGTAGAGGCACTGACTGCTTGTCTAATTTTCTGAATTTTGTCAGTGAAGAAGGAGGCAAAATCATTGCACGCCCTGGTGGATAGAAATTCAGAGGCTACTGACACTGGGGGGTTAGTTAGTCTGTCGACGGTAGCAAACAAGGCACGTGCGTTGTTTTTGTTTTTGGTAATGATGTCAGAGAAGAAAGACTGTCGTGCGTTTTTCAATTCCAAATTATAAAGGCCAAGTCTCTCTTTATAGATTTCAAAGTGAACCTGGAGATTTGTTTTTCGCCACCTACGTTCAGCTTTTCGACACTCTCTTTTTTCTGTTCTCACGGTCATGGCCTTTCTCCATGGAGATATTTTCTTGCTAATCACTTCCTTTACCTTAGTTGGAGCAATGGTATCTATAACATTTTTAATTTTTGAATTAAAATGATCTACTAGCTCATTTACTGAGATGTTAGCAGGGGCAAGTGTGGATGAGAAATTATGAGTAAACATTTCCCTAGTATTTTCAGTTAAATATCGCTTTGTGGTTACCTCTTTCTGAACATTTTTGTGAACAGAAATAGAGCTCTCAAAGAAAACACAGGAATGATCAGAGAGTGCAACATCAGTCACCACAACCTTTGAGATATTCAGACCCTTTGAGATAATTAAGTCCAGAGTGTGCCCCTTATTGTGCGTGGGCTCCGCCACATGCTGAGTCAGTCCATAGTTATCAAGAACACAAAACAGTTCTTTAGCCCCTCTGTCCTGGGGGTTGTCAACATGGATGTTAAAATCACCAACAATGACTAAACGGTCAAAGTCAATACACACTATAGACAGCAGTTCAGTAAAATCATCAAAAAAGCTTGCACAGTATTTGGGTGGTCTATAGATATTTAGGAACAGAGCTCGAGAGGAGCATTTCAGCTGAAGGGCCACATATTCAAAAGAAGCAAAGTCCCCATAAGATGTCTTCCTGCATTGAATGGAATCATTGAACAAAATAGCAACTCCACCCCCTTTCTTATGCATTCTTTCCTGACTCATAAAACTAAAGTTGGGAGGGGTTGATTCGATAAGAACAGCTGCACTGTTATTTTGTTCAATCCAAGTTTCCGTTAAAAACATAAAATCGAGATTGTGCTCAGTGATAAAATCATTGATTAAAAATGTTTTTCCTGCCAAAGACCTGACATTTAATAAAGCTAGTTTAAGTTTGTTAAATACACTATCAGTAAAACATTTTGTGACAAGCTGTGGCTGACATGGAATCACTGCTAAATTTGATAACCTCACACAAACGTTTGAGCACTTCCTGTTTCTAAGCTGATTTACCGCTCTTAATCTATTACCTATCAACACAGATATCGGCAAAGCTACTGGCAGGCATTATGTAAAACATAATATATTATTACGTCCATGTTACACCATTTTAACACCTGTAATACACCCATGCTACATTGATATTACAACTATAAAGGACCGTTCTTAGACCCATATTACAACCCATGTAACACCCATATTACACTGTTCTAAAACCCATATTACACTGTTATTACACCCATATTACACTGTTCTAAAACCCATATTACACTGTTCTAAAACCCATATTACACTGTTCTAAAACCCATATTACACTGTTCTAAAACCCATATTACACTGTTATTACACCCATATTACACTGTTATTACACCCATATTACACTGTTCTAAAACCCATATTACACTGTTATTACACCCATATTACACTGTTCTAACACCCATATTACACTGTTATTACACCCATATTACACTGTTCTAACACCCATATTACACTGTTATTACACCCATATTACACTGTTCTAAAACCCATATTACACTGTTCTAAAACCCATATTACACTGTTCTAACACCCATATTACACTGTTATTACACCCATATTACACTGTTCTAAAACCCATATTACACTGTTATTACACCCATATTACACTGTTATAAAACCCATATTACACTGTTCTAAAACCCATATTACACTGTTATTACACCCATATTACACTGTTCTAACACCCATATTACACTGTTCTAACACCCATATTACACTGTTATTACACCCATATTACACTGTTCTAAAACCCATATTACACTGTTCTAAAACCCATATTACACCACTAATATACCCAATTAATAATGTTATTACACCCATTTTCCACATTTAAACCCCTATTACGTCCATGTTAAGACATTAAAATACACCCATATTGTACCCAAGTTACTATACATTGTTAATACATCCATATCACACTTATTAGACCCATATTACACTGTAATTACATTGTTATTACACTCATTTTAAACATGGCCACAGCCTGTCAAATGATTGTAAACCCAAGGATACAGAAACCATTTAAGTGTTTAAAGAAGTAAGAGTTGCAGTTCTCTGGGAGTTAAAGCGTTGAAAGCTAAAAAATAAGAATATCTCGAGTTAATTTTCCAGTTCACTGATTCCTTTGTTCACTGCGAGAAAAAAACAAAGAGTAAAGACAGCTTTAACTCTGCACACGGAGGAGGAAGAGACTCTCATCTGTTGATCAGTGACACAGAAAGGAGGAAGAGGGCTCGAGAGGAAACTGAACACAGGGGGAAGCAGAGAGGGAGAGAGAATCAGAGAGAGGAAGAGAAGGAGGAGGAGGAGGAGGAGGGTTAATTAATTCAGGGTGGATGGGAGGGATGTTGCAGCCGAGGCTCCAGTGCCTCTGCTGTCGTGCCGAGTGTTTGTTTGAGGACGTTTGGCTGCTGCTGCTCACAGGGAACCAGACACCAGCTCCCCTCCACATCCTGATCGCTTTGCTCTCCTTTGATCCGGCAAACAGGGATGTTACATGGACTACAGCGGCAGCAGGAATAGCCAGAGGTAAGGAAGACTTTCTCTGTGATTACTCCTGCTGTCGTCAAATGTCTGTCTTGATCTCTTTTGCGTCGATGTTCATGTTGTGTTTTTGTACGTGTGATCGCTCTGCTCCACTTCGGCTGCTTCTCATTTGACACATTTCACTCCTTGTTGCTTTCAAAGATTCAAAGGCTTTAATGTCATGTGCACAGTAGCTACAGTGTATGGCAATGGAAATATGAAGTCCCAGGCTCCTCCAACAATGCAACATAAATGTATATAAGACATTAAACAATAAATATAGTGCAAGAAGAAATAGAGTAGAAATAAAAGAACACATTGCTAGACTAATGTACATTCAAAGCGCCCTCATCTTTCCTGAAATGTCGCGCCTTTTCACACTATAAACTTTTTTAAATCACTCTTTGTTACTGTATCTGAAGACTCGCTGATAAGTCTTTGTGATGTGGGTTTTAGGTGATACATATCACAACTTGTCTGCTATGGGTTATAGCGTGTGTTTGGGTGGAGAAGGATTCAAAAACAAAATGTCTTTACCTCAACACAAGAATAAGATCTATACTGTACTTGGATCAGTTAGTATCCAGTGACAGTGCCAATCACCTCGAAGGGTCAGGTCAGTCTTTTCTGGAAAAAAAAAATCAATAAAGGATCCTTTTTCTTGCAAGGCTAATGTAATGAACTAAAAATAAACCGCATTAAGGTGACCTTTGCTAGGGAGTCACAAGAAGTCTTTTTGCAGAAGCAAGTGCCGTTAATTAAACCATTTCCAACCAAAGTAATAGACCAAGAGTGTGTATCTTTATTTCAGATTATTTCTAATCTTTTGCTGCCCTTAGTTCTGGGAGTAAGATATATTTATCGTTAGCTATAATTGCACAGCTACCACTTTATATTGAACTATAATTAAAAGATTTTTGAGTATATGTTGCACGCGTTAATGTCCCTCCCTTTTCACTGAGAGCGATGCTTTGTCTGACTTCTCGTGATTAATCTGCCGTCAACGCGCCTAATTACATCTCATCAAGCAATCACCAAATGCGATGGTTATTTATTCCCTGACAGCGTGCACTTGGTTGGTGATAAACATTAGGAGATCTCTGCCCTGAGTCTCCACTGCGAGGATAATAAGCGAGCACAGAGAGAATCAACAGAGAGGGGGGGATACAGGGAGGAGGAAGAGAGAGGGGTGAAGGGAAGAAGATCATTTAGCAGCGCTGTGATATGCAGCTCACGTTCTCTTCAGTCCCACAAGAGAATACGCATTTGATACAGTGTATATCCGTGTGTGTGATTGCAAGCTGGTGAGTCAGTGCAGGTCCAATGAAGATGGAGCCTCATGATGATGATCCGCCTGCCATCAGACAGTTATTCATCACATGGATTAAGAGGTGAACAATCGCCTGTCTGAACATTGATCTATGTGATTAGGAAAGAGCATGCACAGACCCACTCAAATCGATTCCTTTTATCATTTCCGCACTGACCTCATTAAAAGATAATAAACACCTGGTTTTGGAGCTTTTTAAAAAAGAAAATACACTGTTAGACAAATTAAGCATCTTCTGTGTCTTTTACCTTAAAGCAACATTTCAACAACAGCCCTGTTAATCACTATAAACTAAATAATTGAGGTGTTTTGTGCATGAATCTTTGAGTCATTACTGTCACTAAAGATTCAGCAGCTTCTGGGATAGCAGCTCCCCTCGCAGGTGACTGAAAGCGTTTTTCTCAGTGTTTTACTTCCAGGTATAAATAATACTGACAGGCTGATAAATCACACAGAGAATGATGTGAAAGCTCTGTTTATGAGTCATTAAACGTTATAGATGGAAGTTTTGTGAATCAGTTTGAAGAAGCAACAGATTTGATGAAATCCAAGACATGATGATATAGGGTTCGCTTATCATTAAGCAACTGTATGGGGATGTTACAACAGAGCATCATTATGAGTGTTTTCAGTCGTGTTTGTTTCCCCCAGATGAATAAAGGGTATATCAAGTATTTAAGAAGTCAAACCAAATGGTAATACTCCTAGCAGGCCTTCCTAGTTTCAGTGGAAGTTAAACATATTACATAGATATCAGAAGAATATTTAGTTTAGTTAAATAGAGCTCAGTTTATTCCACCTTAATCAATAACTGTTTTAAAGAGGCCCTATTATGTTTTTTTGGGTTTTCCCTTTCTTGTGGTTTGTTTAATAGGTTTTAGTGCATGTAAATGGTCTGCAAAGGCTAAAATCCACGGAGTTTCTGTGAAAAGAGGTGCTGCAGCACAGGCAGTATGAGAAAAATAAAGAGCTTTTTGAATGTCACAGTAGAGACGCTACAAATATGAACCTGAAAAGGAGCATAATTTGTCGTCTTTAAAGGTAGGGACACACCAAACTGACACCAAAGAACTGACACAGATGGACCCGACTGTTGTGTCGCCTCGCGTCTCCTGCGTCTTGGCCAACAGTCGCACTGGAACACACCGCAAAGACTTCAGCCGACGGCCAATTAGCACGTACGAACTGCGCATGCGTGAGTGGCAATAACTCTCCTTACCAGCAGGCGGCGGTAGTGTGTATTCGTCATTCAAAAGAGGCAACAACCGGAAGACAAGACTGCGTGATACACCGAGAGAAGAAGAACAGACTGCGTGATATAAACAAACAACAAATAGCGTGTGCGTTCCATTTTCACTCTACAGCGAGAAGCTCATGGGGCTTTACCGAACCTGTGTCGAGAGCTGGAGTTAAATTAAATCTCAGATTTGCCTTCTTAATAGTTTGTTTGGGTCCCTCACTTCCGTTTCGCTTCTCATGCACTGATTCGCTAGCTGAACAGCCAATCAGAGTGATTTCTTTGACCGACAGCCTTTGGCCGATTGTTTTTGGCCAAAAAGGTGTCGGCACGGCCGAAAAGACACGACGGTGCGGGACACACCAATCGGAGTAGGGCGACAGGACGCTCATCGTCGGCGTGACATCCATCGACAGCCAAAATCGGCTTGGTGTGTCCGGGGCTTAAGACTTTAAGTATTTGATGTAGTCGTATGTTAGGTCAAACGGTATCATGAGGTTTACCTGGCTCAATTATTGAGAGTCTATGGATTCAAATAACATAATCATTATCCCATTAGCATCAAGGAATTGTCCAGATACTAGTAAACTTTTTTTGGGAAGGCCCCCAGTCTTACGCTTGTAAGGCTTATGCTGTTTATCATATGATGTCATAAACTAATAAATGCCTTGAGTTTGTTCTCTATTAACTCCAGAGGGTAATATCTGTCTCTTTAGCTGCTGTTTGCCGTTGAGCAGGATGATTACAGTGAAAACCTGCTGTAGTCCAAATTCTCTCCATGAAAGTAAACCAAAACAATACATTTAAAGACCTGACACTGAACATCGAGCTGAGGCTGCTATAAAGCTCAGTAAAGCCGGGAGGAGCTGCAGATCAGGTGATAAATCTGTGCAGATTCATCACTACCATCGCTTTTATGCTGTTTTCCCACCGTCGTCATACAAAATATATATATATATTTAGACACTTTCAAAACATAAAAGCTACTAGCTAAAAATACTGAATTATGTGATTCTCTACTAAGTTGAAAGTGAAAGACAAAAGTAATCATATTTTTCTATTAAGACGCAAACCAGCAACATATTTTTATTTGTCCTTTTAATTCAATTTAACCGTGTTGTGCATAATCAGTATTAAGCACTGAATCCAACAGTTTGATTTATTTGCGATGTGTTCATCCCAGTAGCTACTCCTTTATTTTGTTTTCCACACACCCTCGTGTCAAGCTCTTGGAAGCAATTCGTTTTTTGATCGCAGGAAGAAGACAACTGTTAGCATTTCTCTTAATGTGTCTTTGTCGTACCGTCTTGTAACATGACACTTCTGTAGCATTTCTATTTGACTGTTCGGTGAATATGTGAAGTAAAGACTTAACGAGGCACTTTTTTACAGCTGAAAACTTGACTGGAGAATGTACAAACTCCAGATGGAAATTCACAAGCCTTGAAAGACATATATTGAGATTTTCACGTCTTTTTTAAATTCTAAATCAGAACTAATTGCTATATGAATAATGTGCATGTATGTAATCACTCAGTACGTGTAGAAATGCACACAGTCTGTATTCAGAAACTGGGTCTTTTATATAAAAACATCACAATATACAGAGCATTTCAAACGTAAACCTTGTATATTTTGACTGGATGCACTGTAAATTAATGAAATCAGCAAACATAAGGTAGCAGGCAGCAAGCCTGGCAATGCAATTCAAAAGTTAAAATGGAGTATTTTTTGGACAGGCGGGAAATACTGGTAGATTTAAACGGTTTCCTGTTGCATAAAGCATGATAGCATGTGCTCGTAGTAACCCAAAATAGAAAAAGAGGATAATATGTAACCTGTAGAATGTGAATGTGAATAGAGTTCGTTCAGTAGCTCTCAGACAGGTCTAACCTCTTTTTTTTATTTAACCTTTATTTAACCAGATAAAAGCATTGAGATAAAATCTAATTTTCAATGCTGACCTGGCCAAGAAGGCAGCAACGTTACACATAACGCATAACACAACATATAAAATACAGAGAACATAACTAAGAAAACAAAAGACGAAAAAGCAGTCACTACATTGTTCACATTAGGACAGTAAGAAAGGTGCACTACTTATTACTGCAAGAGCAGCTGGTGGTAAGGACTTCAGACAACTTCAATTTAAAACATGCGATTGAGACAAGTGCCCTCAGTTTGAGGCTTGATTGAAGGTCATTCCAAGACCAAGGACCATAATGAAAAAGACCCCTTTTTCCAGCCTCAGTCCGCACAGCAGGAACCTGGAACCGTATCCAGGCACTGGATCTGAGGTTGTAAGAGTCACAAACTGGAGCAAATCTGGCACATATGTAGAGTGGAAGCTTACCTAAAATGGCTTTATACATTGATAAAAACCAGTGCTGCATCCTACGCATAGTAAGTGAGGACCATCCAGTTAGGCTATACAGT